ATTTTCTTTGGAAAACAGAAAGGCAACTCTCTGGATAAGAATAATGTGAAGACTCACCTGTAAAACATTGATTTATAATTTATCTTTTATCACAAATTTTAATTAAAAATGAGGCTTTTTTTTGTGTGTGAATTGCCATTTCTTTCATTTCTTTCTCTAGCTTACCCTACTTTTCCTCTGCCTATTCTTTTGAGGGAAAAATTTGCTGAAGAATTTGCAATGACTGTGTTGCTTTGTCAGCAATAAAATCTAATTGTACATTCCTTGGTAACATTTCCAATAATGGTGCACACCTCATCTTCTTTTAGGCATTCTCTTATATCCTTTCTCAACAGGAGGCATAGTTAATTTTAAAATAAACTTGCCTGTTTTGATCAAAGTTTTAAGCAAAATAGGTTTAAAATAGTCTAAGCAAAAAACTTAAATATCAGTTTGTACTTTGTGCCTCTTATAAAATGTAAAGACTGAGACTCTGAATCAGTTAATTATTTATCATTTTTATTTTTCATGTTTGGAGGAAAGTTTTTGTTTCTTTTTGCTTGAAGATAAGAATTATTATTTGCAACTTAATTAAACTTAGCAGAGCCTGTGTATTCAATTTTTGTTATGGAGCTAATTAATTTTGCCTTTATATGAGAGTTGTTATCCAATTTGTAGATATTAACATTTTCTTTCTCTCCTTTACATTCCTGCTAGCCTTCTAGCTCTGGCCATTTTGCTGTTTATTAGCAGGTAGGTAAAGGTATCTAAAATATAATAAGAATCCTCTCTTACATGAGAGACAGACAGGATGATTGTAGTAGATAAGCATGAGTGAGTAGCAGAAAGGCAGTCTGGTATAGTAGGTTGAGTGCTAGACAAGCAGTTAGGAGGACCTGAGTTTGAATCTCACAAGGTACCAGTGTGACTGTCCCTTAACTGACTTTTGCCTCAGTTTCCTTATCTAAAAAATGAAGATAATAATATCACTTGCCTCAGAAATGAGAGAATTTATGTTAAGTGCTCGGTAAATCTTAAAGTGTTATATTATTATTATTATTATTATTAGTATTTCCAATAATTAAGGATTGGTGATTTCATTGGTATGTGAATGCCCTCTAAGCAATGCCTCTAATGTCACTAAGGACTAGGCAGGGGTAGGGAACTTGTGGCCTCGAGGCCATTATGTAGCTCTCTAGGTCCTCAAGTGCCCTTTGACTGAATCCAAACTTCACAGAACAAATCCTTTTATTAAGTGAAGTTTGGATTCAGCCAAAGGGCACTTGAGGACCTAGAGGGCTACATATGTTGGAGGCTTCAGGTTCCCCACCTCTGGACTAGGGCAAATGTAGTAAATGTTAAAGTGAAACTAATTGAGGGAAATCAATGAATTAACTAGCACATGCACTTTATTATCAGCACTGATGTAACATATTGCCTGTACTTTGTAAAGTGGTCTTATGGATTTATTTAAACTCAGAGGCAGTGTGGCATAGTGTAAAAAAACCCCAAACAAACAAATCCTGGTATATCAGAAGCCTTATATAGCACCCAATCATCCATTTATTAGCTATGTGACATTTGGCTAAGTTACTAAACCCCAGTGGGCCTCATCTGTAACTGAGACTGTATTTAGAGGCAGATGGTTATGAAGAGCAATGTGGGGGTTGGGGGGAGGAGCTGTCCAGCTGTCTAGCTGAGGCAAAGTGAGAGGAAGCTAGTGGATAGAGGTGGTAACGCAGCAACACCCCCATACCCACACAGCTGCAGAATGTTGAGCTTTCCAATTTAGAGAATTTTTTTTGTCAGATGTAACAACCACTTGTGCCTCAATCCCATCAGCCTTGCTTCTTGCATCCCACCTCAGATTTTGTTTTGATACTGCTTCCACTCTAAAGATTACTTTCTGTATATGATCCTACTGTTCCATATACATTGTGACTGTTACTGATTGGCCTTCCACTTGGACTTTCTATCTCTGTAACATCCTTCTTGCCCTCATATTCCTATCTGTCAAACCAAGAAGGCTTCAATTGGTAAAATGGAATCTATTCCCATAGTACATGATGGTTCTGACTCTGCCCTTGCCCTAGTACAGAAGAATATTGTGATAGATGATGTCTTCTAGTTCCTATATACTATGATTCTAATCAATGAAGTCTTCTCAAAGGGAGAGTGTTTCAACTCTTTTATGTTATTGATGCAGGATGTATTGGGACTTAATTCAGTGTTTAGGGATCCTTGCCTGTGGAGTCCATGAAGGTGCTTATCCAAGGCTAGTTCTCTGACAAACAATGAATGTATTTACTAGTCAAGTTAGAGAATAGAACAAAAATTGTGGAAACTTAATAAACCAGAGAAATAAATTTGAGGGTTTAGGGGAAAAAAAGCATACATTTCTAGAAAATCCAAGTTTCGAAAAATAAAAAAAAGATTTCCTGATAGTAAAAATCCAGACCACCAATTTTAATATTTGCCATCAGTCCACTCTGAGGAGGTGGTGGAAACATTAAAAAATTATTTCTATGTACTTCAATAATATTTTTTCCTTCTTTTGTTACAATGGATGACCAAAGATTGCTTAAATGGTACACTATGGGACAATTTCCTGTTGGCCTAATTCTGCATGCTTTACTTAGCCAAAAATTTGGTTGAATCTAATAGAAGCTTTTCCTAAATAAAGAATGGAATAACAAGGTTCTTCTAAGTCTTTTTTTTTTGTCTCTTTACTAAGGGGTTATTCTTTGGTACTAGAGGACTCTTGAAAATCACTGAAACTATGGATGGAAGTGTTACCAAAGTGATTCCTTAGTTAGGATTTTGGAGGTAATATGGCAGTAGAAATAATGCTGGAAAAAGAATCATAGGACCTGAGTTTGATTCCTAGGTCTGCCACTTACTGACTTTGGGGTGAGTTACTTTAAGTACCAACATTATCATCTATAAGATGAGAGGATTGGGCTTAAGGATGTCAAAGGTCTCTGAGCTCTACGTCCTTCTTTCAAGATGGCTATACTTGACTGGGGGATATGGGTGAGGTGTAGCTCATTCCAGGAAACGGAACATGCTGAATTTCCAACTTAAAAAAAAACAAAACGAAACGATGAAGTTAGACTGCCCTGTTCTTTACATTACTCTGTAGTAGTTAGAAAGTAAATGATATGCTTTGGAAAGCATGTTTATTCTTTCAGAGGCCACTGTTATAAATTACAGTTCTGTTACCCCCACCATGCCCTAAATGTTATTCTACCTTCTGGTAAGTATTCTTTTACACACCCAGGTTTTACTGGTCAGTGGTCTGGGTGAAATCCTATAAATTATCAGGATTTAGGTGGTGAAAATAGTTTAAAGTTAGATGGCATTGTAGAAAAGTGAATTTGTGTTAAGAAATGTTATGATATTCATTATTTAATCACCAATTTTGAGCTGGAAGGGATCTTAGAGACTACCAGTTAGTCTAACTCTCTCACTTTATACTTGAGTAAACTGGGGCCCAGAGAGATTGCAAGATTTACTAGGCACATAGGTAGTGAGTGGCAGAGCTGGAAATTGAACCCAGGTAATTCCATTCAAATCCATTGCTCTTCTGTTGTACCGTAGAATCCAAAAAACTTGTTGATTTTTCAAAGTCATAGAATCATGAGTTATGTTTATATTTGTATGTGACTATTCAAGGAAAATATTAATTATAATTTTTCATTGTCTTTTTTCTTCATCATAGTGAAACTCCTTGGGGAATATCAACATTGGGGGCTAGGCTGTCTCCTATCGGAATTTACTGCATGTAGCTGTTACATGTTAAGAGACATAATCTAACTCAAGAAATGGCAAATTTCTTTAATTACAGATTGTGTTTTGAGAAATTCTGTTAGATCTTTGATTTATGTTTAGATATTTTTGTAGGTCTTTCATGAAGTGAGGCGGTAATTGTCATACTTAAAATTTTGGAATTTGTTTGTAATACATTAATAATTATGCACACCAATAAGAGAAAAACATGGGGAAAAAAATCTTGGTTTCCACATTTCTTCCTGATGTCCTGAAGTTTCAAAGAAAGATGCCAATTAACCCAGAGATCATGGACAGTGCAATTGTTTAATAGACTTCATTGATTTTTTTCTGTGAAAACTTGCAAAAAGATTGATGTACTCATAAAAGTTTGAATCTTTCCTTATTAAGGAAGCTAAGAAAAATCATTACCAGAGTACCCATTTTATTGCATTGTATTGAAAATATTTTCCTTTCTACCTATCTCATTTTCATGAAACATGAGATGTTTTAAATGATATAAAAAAACCAGTTCTCTGAAGTTTTTGAAAATATACTTGACATAGGTCTTCTAATAGATCATTAATTATATTGATTCATTCAGTCATATATTAAAAAATATTTATTTTGCAAGGGGTCGAGGGTTATTACCTGGAAAGCAACAGGATTCAAAAGTGGAGATACAACTACTATAATATATAAGAAAACTGAAGAAGTCGTTTCCGCTTTAGGTCTGCTACATGTCTTTCAACCTGACCAGTCCTCTAAAGGAAAGCTGAAGTCTCATTTGGAGCTGTTTCAGGGTTTGTTTTGGGAATATGCTCAGCAGCAAGTTTGTTTTAAAAAGGTCGATGGTTCGCAGTTCCTCATGGGATTGAGCGAGTTTCTTTCTGGTGCCTTCCAAACCTTACATGTGGGCTTGGGATTTATAGGGTTAAAGGGAGGTGCTTGGGAAATCTGATGCTAAAGAAGTCTTAGGAATGTTACACATGTTACACATCCCCCTGCCAGCATTTCCCAGCAGATCGGTCACCGAGGCTGCTGCAAGGGGAAACTTGACTCTCCCATCCATATCACTGTCTGGACCCTGCAGACTCTCAATTTCTAAGAGAACCTTTCCCAGCTGTTCCCTCTGCTCCTTTCTTCAGGTAAAAAAACAAGTTAACGAATATGCAAACAAAGCTTTTTGGAGGTGATGGAGGGATGAATGAAGTTTGTATCGGCCACCAGAAGTTCCTAGGTTTGGGGTGAGCATGGGGGCAAAGAGATGCCGCTGGAGGGAACGCCGCCCTGGCCTGGGTAGTGGAGTTGGGCAACATCTCCAGATGTTGCAAGGGGCTCACAACTGCCCTGGGATTTCTTCGGCCCGGTGCCTCGCGCCCAGCTACTAGCCAGTTCCTTGAATAACTGGGCGGACAGCATTGGGGGCCAGAACCGTTTTGAAGACTTTCTTTGCAAAACCTTGGTCCTTCCTTAAGGCGAGGCCAACAGCTGGAAGGGGGCTCTGGGTGAGTGTTGGGGAAGCCTATCTACAGACGGCGCGCGGCCCGCGGGCTCTCGGGCCATTGATCCGTCCGTCCTCTCTCTGTTTGCTCTTCCAGGTGCCCACCATGCGGGAGGCGCGGCGGGGCTGGCCCAGGGCCGGCGCTGGCGGGGGCTGCTACGGCTACCTGGGCCTGTGCTTTCTGTTGCTAGGAGGGGGCGGCGCGGACCTGTGCCTGGGTCCTGCGTGCGACGGCGGCGGGGGGGACCCCGAGCCTCCGCAGCCCAAAGCCCCGTGCCTGCACCCGGGGGGAGCCCGCTGCCCGGGGAGAGCCGGCCGGCCGTCGAGCTCCTTCCTGCACGGCGCCTCGGCAGGCCGCGGTCAAGCCCAGGTCAAGCAGCCGCTGCAGCCGGCCCCGGCCCGGGGCTCCTCTTCTGCTTCCTCGGTCCAGCCCCGGGTCGCCGCAGACCCCAAGCCGCAGGCGCTGGAGCGATTCGCCGCCAGGGGCGCGCTGGAGCTGACGGCCCCGTGCGTCCCGGGAGCCGACTGTGCCGCCGCCGTCGGGGCTCCCAACGCCACGGCTCCTGGCTCCCGGGACTGCAAGGGCCTCGAGTGCCGGCTGCCCCCGTTGAGGCTGGCGCGCCAGAAGCACCGAGCCGGAGGCCGGGCCCCTGCCCTCCAGCAGCAGGGCGAAGGCTGCACGGGGGCCAGGCCAGGGCCGGGGCCAGGAGAGCCCACCCTGGTCCGGGTCACCGAGCGAGCCGCTCAGTTCATCGGGGAGGTGACCCCAGAGCTGGCCCACCCTGCCCCTGAGCTGGGGGGCGCAGGCCTTGGCGTGCAGCTTACCTGCGACATCAGGCCAGGTGGGTTGGGGGGGAAAGGGAGACCGCCGTCCTGGTGGAATTACCTGCCCTTCTCTTCGTCTGACCCCGGAGACGTCACTTACATTCTTAAAAGGGCTCAGTTATCCCTTCTGTAAAACCAGAATCACAATATAGAACCCCTAATCTGTGCTCCCTGAGGCATAAAATGGTGATGTGGAGAGAAAGCTACTTCAGAGTCGGGAAGACAGGGATTCAGGTAGCTGTGTGACGTTGGGCAAGTTAATTAATCTTTCAATGCTCTAGACAATTTTCGTAAGAATATGTGTTGCCGAATATACATCGCCTATCTGCTTTGGTTGAAAGAGGCCTTTCACTGGGACTTCACTGCACAGATGAAATTACAGATCGGGCCCCCCCCCCCAAAAAATCTGCAGCCTCAACTACGTGGTAATAATTCATGTAGCACCTACTATGCCAGGCACCGTGTTAAGTGCTTTATAAATATCATCTCCTTTGAGGAGTTACCCCCATTTTACAGTTGAGGAAACGGTGGCAAAAGGAGATGAAGTGATTTGTCCGATATCACACAGCTAGTGTCTGAGATTGGAGTTGAACCCAGAATTTCTGACTCCAGGCCCGGCTCTCTATCCACTGTGCCACCAAGCTGCTCAATAGGTGGGTGCCATGAGCAAATCATTAACCTTTCTGAATCCTAGTTTTCTCATTTGTAAGATGGGAAGAATATTAGTGTAACTTACCTCACAGGGTTGCTTTAAGCATTAGATAAGATAATGTAAGTAAAGTGCTATGTAAAATTATATTATTATTATTCTTTTTTTAGGCAGTTGGGGTTAAGTGACTTGCCCAGGGTCATACAGCTAGTAAGTGTCAAGTGTTTGGTCTGAGGCCAGATTTGAACTCAGGTACTCCTTACTTCAGCTAGGGTGCTCTATCCACTGCACCATCTAGCTGCCCCTAAATTATATTATTATTTTTAATAGTTTTTGGTTACTACTGCCTTCTGTCTTAATTTTTGTTATGTTCAATTATGTGCAACCTCTTTCAAATATTAATTTTTTTATATAACCTATGAACATGTATGTTCTAGGCTTCCAATTTCTGGTATATTTTTTAGTATAAATTGTAGAACACTCTATTGAGAAACATGAAAAAGTTATAACCTGTTTTACAGTTTAAGACCTGCTGTCTCAAGCCAACTAAGGGAATGGGACTAGAACCCAGAATTACCATTTAACGTTATTTTCGTTTTTAAACCTATTTTTGGAGGCAGTCAGGTGGCTCGGTGGATCTAGTGCTGTGCCTGAAGCTAAGAGGACCTGAGTTCAAATATGACCTCAGACACTAGCTGTGTGACCTTGGACGAATCACTTAACCTCTTTTTGCCACTGTAAAGTGGGGGTGATAGCTCCTCAAATGAAGCCCTTAACCCAGTGCCTGGCACATAGTAGGTGCTATATAAATGCTAGCTATTATTAACACAGAGTTGAGGTGGGCAAGCAAATCACTTAACCTCTGTTTGCCTTAATCCACTGGAGAAAGAAATGGCAAACCACTCCAGTATCTTTGCCAAGAAAACTCCATATGGGGTTCACTTGGACACAATTGAACAACAACAATCTGATTTTTAACCAGTGAACTTGTTTTAATAATGGGGGAAAGCAGTTTGAGAGCAGTAGACTGATCCAGGAGATATGAGTTCTAATTCTAGTTCAGCCCCTAAATAACTAAATGCTCTGAGCAAATCCCTTAAACCTTTCTTTGCCAGCACCATCATTTCTAGAATGATGGAGTTGGAATAAGTAATGCTTAAGAATCCTTCCAGCATGAAAATTCTATTTGGGGAGCATGGAAGAACTTAATTGGATTTGAGTATAGAACTCGGGAAGTAAAAGTGAACAGACATTATTAGATTATGCTTCTAAATCCAGAAAAAATTAATTTGAGCAATCTTTGGGCATCTTTTTCCTCTGGATTAATTAAAATGGACTGGGATCTGTTCCAGGCAGTAATTGCCATGACCTGCAATGGTTTTGCTCAAATGAAGGAGCCTAGGTTCCTTATTAAGGGGGAAGGAAGAGGGGGTGTTCCAGAAAATTAATTTGACCAGAATGTTTCGGTGCTATGCAAAGATAAAAGGATTTGGAGAAATGCTTCTGGCAAACATGCTCACTTATTTGTATTTATTTTTGAAAACAGTGTTCATACCAAGGGAGTCCTTAATTATAATTAAATTTAAAAGAAATTTCCACCACAGACCTCATTTTTTTTTTTTCACTCAGGACAACTCTGTGGTCAGGCTGCAGATCTCATGCTTTGTTGTTGAGGGAGATTAGGACTCCTTGGCTGACTGATCTATAGGTACAGAGACAAAATATTTCAGAACAAAGGCTAATTTCACTCCAATTGAGTGTCTAGTTTGCTTTTTTTTTGTTATAAACATCAAAGCATCGATGATCTAGCACACAGGTGAATAATGGAATAACGAGGAGCACACGTGGCGTATGGGTGGTGGTGGAGGGAACTGTGGTATATTGAACAGGCTTAGCGCATTCCCCTGGAAAAAAAGACTAAAGCCCAGCTATGGAACCTCATACAAAACCACTGAGACAGTTAGCCAAAAGGGGATTCAATTGAATGGGCATTTAAGCACTTACTATATGCTAGGCACCGTACTAGATATTGGGGATACAGAGACAAAAATGAGAATAGCTTCTGTTCGAAAAGAGCTTACATTCTAATGGGTGGGGAGGGGAGAGAAGAGGGATACAAAGCCCCAGAGCTTAGTGGGTGGTGGAAGAACTTAGGTCTTTTTGCCCCACAGTTCTGTAGTCTTCCATGCTGCTTCCATAACATATAACCTGACTAAATCAGTTGATTGGGGCAGGTAGGTGACCCAGTGGATAGAGTGCCAGAGTCGGGAAGACCTGAGTTCAAATCCAGCCTCAGACACTTAGTAACTGTCTGACTCTGGGCAAGTCACTTAACCCTGTTTGCCTCAGTGTCCTCATCTGTAAGATGAGCTGGAGAAGGAAATGGCCAACCACTCCAGTATCTTTGCCAGGAAAACCCCAAATGGAGTCACGACTGAACTAACCAAAGTTAGTTGATATCAATTGAGTATCCACAGACTATATAGCACTGAACATCAAGCCACGGGCCTGACATGCACAAAAATTATGTCAATAAAAGCTCACATTTATCCAGTGAAGAAAGCATGAATATTATTCTTTGCAATTTATAGCTAAGGATGGTGAGCCTCAGAGCAGTTAAATGGTTTATTTGCTCAGGGCTATAGTCAAATGTGGGTGACATCTTTCAGCTCTTTGTCTGGGGCTCTTTCCATTATACCATGTTGCTTCTTCTGTTGCTGTTATTTGTCTGTGGTTTGTATGCCAAAGCTTACTATTTGGACTTCTAAAATATTGATTGGTTTTGAGCAGGGGTGGGGAACCTGCAGCCCCAAGGCTACATATGGCCCTCTAGATCCTCACATTTGTTTGTTCTGTTCACACTGTGAAGTGTGGATTCAGTCAAAGGGCCCCACCTGAGGACCTAGAGGTGGCCGCAGGTTCCCCAGCCCTGGTTTTGAGGATATAAATCCTTCAGTAAATAATTTCAGGGTTGCGCAGCAGAATAAAGGAAGAGAACCTAGGGTTTGTGTTGCTATACAAAGATTTTGTTTGTAATGTAATACATAAGATTTTTCCTCCAACTTCTAGGGCTCTAAACGAAGATGTCTGATCATTAAAATAATCAGCATTTTGCATCAATATTACATTGCATTGTGGCAACTTAGCATTTTTATGTTATTTATACTAAACAGAAAATTAAGAGCAAAACCATGGGAGATGTAGTCATTTTTTGGGCTGTGTTACAGGAGAAAATGAGGTTCCTTCTGAAGATGCACTTATCCTACAACTGCAGCTTGCTAAAGGACAAGAAAAATTTGTTGAGATGCTAAAAAGCCAGCAGAAAGTAATTGCTGATTTGCAGCACAAACTCACCGAGCAACAGAACATGTTGATTAGCCAGCAAACAGAAATCCTAGAACAACAGAAGAAAATGTATGAGCAAATGAATCTCATTAAGGTCCAGTACAGCATGCTTTTTGACACAGTGAGACAAATGTCATTCCAGAATTTGCAGGAGGATATCCAGCATTATTTTCAAACTCACCTTCAAGGACTTCAAAACCAGGTCAGAAATCATCTGCAGAAGTCATACTCTGTGCATAAGGTTGAAGTTGATGCAAAAATGATTGATGTTGGAGAAACTTCACTGGACTGTGGCCTTTGTGAAAGTGATGAATTTTGCAATTTCCAGAAGACTCCCTCTCAGTGTGAAAAATGCACTCTTTGCCCTGCTGGCTTTTTCCAAATGTCTGAATGTTCTGCAAATACTGACCGGATTTGTCAGGTAAAATGTTACACTTTTATAGATTACAATTAGTGATGTTTTTCAAGAATTTTGTAAGGTGTTGGGAAATTTTACTCAAATTCAATTGAAGTCAACTTTCCAGTACCTCTTCTCATCTTAGAACCTTTTGTTCTAACAGAAAAACCAACTAACACAGCAACTGTATGTGACCATGTATCCAACATTCCATACCCTTACTGTATCACCCTTGTACCAAGAGGAGGGGAATGTGTCTCATCATTGGTTCTTGAAAACCAAGATTGGTCACTGTGTTTATTCTGATGTCTGACGTATTCTAGTGCTGTCTTCATTTTACATCATTATGATCATTTTGTATATTGTCATCCTGGTTCTTAGCCTCGTCGTTGAACAGCTGACATACAGTTCCTTAGTAAGTCCATATTTGTTGCTTTTCTGGCAATTTGTTCTAGGTCCTGCTTGGAAAAAAAAACTTTTTACAAATTGAAATTGCCAGATATAAATTCTAAATATAAATTCCCAGAATAAATTTCAAGTATAAACTCCAGACATAAATTTCCAGAGTAAATTCCAAGTATAAATTTCTGATATAAAATAATTTTAAGTTTTAAGTTTCTAATAACAGAATTTTAAGTTTTAATTTTAAACCTTAAGTTTAACATAACAGAAAACTGCACTAAGACTTTGGGACACCCTGTATAAATGCTCCATTTCTGGATGGGTAAACAAAGCATAACTAAGGAATATAGGTTTCAGTTTTAAATTTCTTTATCTTGCTGTAATTCAATAACAAAATTGTATACTTCTTTTAAAACAAGCTTATTTTAAAAGTGAATCAACATTATAAAGTATTTCTATCCAGCATTCATGTTTGGTCATATTTATAAAATGGGATTTTTAAATATTTATTATTATATTTATAAAATGAGATTATTTTATTTTGCAGGACAGGGATGAATGCATTGAATCTCCAAATATTTGTGGTGAAAGAATAAAATGTCTGAACACCCCAGGTAACCTTTTGTGGACTGTGTTTCCTTTGCATATATCTCTGTGTATGACAGATTGGAAAATAACAGGTATTTTCAGATTAGCATTAGACATTTTAAACACTCTTGATTCACACTCTTGTGTGAATGATCTGCTTTGGGGATTTGCTGTGGGAAATTGCGATCCCAAATTGCCTTCTGAGAGCTACTATGTATCCTTGTGGGAGTCTTCCTTCAACCATCATTATGTGTATCTTCCGGGAATGCAAAGTAATTTTAATATTATCCCAAGTAAAATATAATTAAGGAGGCAAACTTGGTGCTGACAAGTCCTGCAGTGCCTTCCTGAGCCAAAATCAAAATGATTTTAAGATTGTTTGGACTTTTTGATGGCTTATACCATTCCTCTTCTTCATTGATGTCTATGAGACATTACTGTCTTCTTTTATACATGGATGTATACATTGCTATGAGGTGTCCCAAAAGTCTTGGTGCAGTTTTAAGCTTGAATAGCTTAAAGGCCGAATACCCATCAATCAGTCAATCAACAAGCATTTATTAAGTGCCTGTTATGCTCCAAACACTTTGATAAGCACTGGAGATAAAAGTCCAAAGGATAAAGTTATCCCTACTAGCAATGAACACATATAGGCTTAAATAGCTTAAAATGGCTCTAACACCCTGGGACACCCTGTATAGATACTTTTCTATGTATAAGTTTTTTTGTATGTACATATGGGCATGTGCATATGGACACATACTTGTAATAGTAGACTTAGGGATGGGCCCTGCACCTGTAATTTCAATGACATGGGAGCCTCCAGGTGAGGAAATTCCTTCTTCTAATGCAGGTGGTGCCTTCTCTGCAATTTATGGTCTTGGACAGTTGTACCATGTACTGAATGTGGAGTTGGAGAGTGTACTAGAGTACTGACAGTGACTTGTTCAGGGTCACAGAGCCAGTTTGTGTCAGAAGTAGGACCTGAATTCGCATCTTCCTGGCTCCTGCCTCTATCTTCTATACCACATTGCCTTTCAATATTGTGTGTATGTATACACATATGTAAAATATATGTATATATAAATTGTTTACACACACTTATATGTATGCATTTATCTCTTTGTCACTCTCTATCTATCTGCCTTTCTGTCTCCTATTTGTCTCTGTTTCTCTCTCCCCTACCCCTCCTTTCCTCCTCCTTCTCTTCTCTCCTCTAGGCCCATCCCCATACTGTCATGATCAAGCAGAGCTCAGACATCCTATTTTTTTTCCTTTTCATAATCATGCAGCTGACCTCCATTTATTGTGGGAAAAACACCTGAAATCTTCCTTTTTATTGTTTTTTAATTTTTTTTTTTGTGAGGCAATTGGGGCTCAGTGACTTGCCCAGGGTCACACAGCTAGTAAGTGTTACGTGTCTGAGGCCGGATTTGAACTCAGGTCCTTCTCGCTCCAGGACTGGAGCTCTATCCACTGCACCATCTAGCTGCCCCTTGAAAGCTTCCTTTTCACAAGCTCTCCTGTCTCACTATTGCCTCATGAGGAAAACAGTTGGGGCATGAGTTTGCAAGTATGGCTAGAGGAACTTGGGAAAGGGACGGTCATGAAGTCACTTGATTATTATCTCCAAATACATGAAGCATTTCTATGGGGAGGATGTTGTTCTGTGTTCTCTCTGTCTACAGAAGACTGACTGAGAATAACTCACATTTGTGTGATGCTTTAAGGTTTGCAAAGCACTTTCCTCAGCTGAGTTGAAGTCCTGCTTCAAACCCACACTGACCCTGAACACATCACTTCCCCTCTCTCAGTCTCCCAGGCAGTTCTCTAATTCTCTTAATTAGCAGAGTCAGTGCCAATTTGCATTAGTTGGGGAAGGTCCTCACCTTGGTTCCTTATAATGATGAAATCACAGGTCCAATTGAAAAAAAAGATGGCAGTAGGGGGAAAAGAATTCAATTAAAGTGAGAAATTGCTTGGTTGGGTATAAGGTAGAACTTCATTTACCAAAGTCAGTAAAATGTTGGAATAAGATACTGGAGGATTTTATAGAAAAAAAGGTAGCCACCTGTAATGGATTATTTACTAAATTATTTCTAAAATAGAGGAATAAACTAATTGATAGCTTGAGGTCCCTTTGATTTTGTGATTTCCTTTTTTGCCAATGTAAGGGCTTTAGAATTCCCCAGCAATGGATATAATTGGAGGTATAGATATTTGTATTTGGAGAAGGACATCCTATTGCCTAATCAGCTCAGTTTAGAGATCAGCTCAGCTATTCACAATCTTTTGTAGACTATAAGCTCCTCAAGGGGACCATTTTTTTTTGGTTTTGTCTTTATATCTGGAGTACCTTGCATGTAGTAGGGAATCAATAAATACTTTTTGAATTGGATCAACTTCTAATACTTAAATACCCAGGGAAGCAAACTTAGGTTTATTTGTTATAGAATTAGAAAGCTTCGTTGAAATTTACTGCTATGGATTTAGAGTTTGAACAAGACATTGTGAGAAGAAAAAATTAGTATTTATGGTTCAAAAGGCTCTCTCTCTCTCTCTCTCTCTCTTTCCTCTCTCTCCCTGTCTCTGTCTCTGTTTTTCTCTCTGTGTCTCTCTCTGTCTCTGTCTGTCTCTCCCACTTTCTTTTTCCCCTACCCCTACTCTCTTCTTTATGTAATATTTGAGTGAGGATTTGGCTTGTTCAGAAGCTAAACATTTTCTACTTTTCACTATTTTGCTTGTTTGTCAGTATAAGAAAAGAGGGTCGTGAAGTTATGGCGGGGGGGGGGATGTAATGATGTACAATGGAGTGCTGTGAGTGAAATAGAAATTAATGAATGAAAAACAGAGAAGGGGATATGAATATCTTTTGTACTGAATTATGGTGGGGTCATTATCAGGTTAAGAAAGCTCTGATATCTCTTGTCAGACTATGACTCCAGATGCTTCTGTCCTCAATTCTTCAATTAGCCAGGAATAGAAAATGTTTCCATGACACTGTCTTGTGGTTCTTACCCTCAGCTTTGTTGTTGGGGGCTTCTTGAGGAAAGTACTACGTTGCTCCTGTCCTTGGAATTGAAATCTTGGCCTCTGGCTTATGAGGTTGTTTTTTTTTTTTTTTTTAAAACAGAATGAGAGACTAAAGACAAACGAGTCTTTTGAGTCACTTAATTGAGTCTTCAATATCCCTTGTGCTTTCACTAAGAGAAAAATTAGGCCTTTACCTAATACTTGATTTTACAATATGATGAAGTTAGACACTAATGAAAGAAGAGATAACTGAAAGTACTTTATCCTCAGTTAATTTATTCAAGAGACATTTAAATTTTTTTATTTGGTTGTCCATATGAGAATTTAAGTGGTTTTATGTTTCCTTCAAGTTCTAGTAGTATGTAACTTATGACACTCTTCTGTACTCTATTAGAAATCTAGGTTGGAATCACATACAAACCCACATATATGAACAATATAACACAGCATTATCTTAATTTAATTTAGCATTATAAAATTTTATTGTTGGAAGGGATCCTGGAGGTTCTAGACCAACCTTTTTCCCTTGACAGAATGAAGCTCATTTGTGAGTAGGGATGTTTCATCCTTGATATTGGTATCTCCAGGGCTTAGAGTGCCTAGCACATAATAGGTACTTAATACTTGTTAGTTGATTGATGGTTACCCTGCCTTTACTTGAATAGAGCACTTGTGAAAGACTCACTACCTACCAAGAAAGCTTAATAATGTCCTAGATGGGACCTTTGGGGAATTAGTTTTAGCAAACATTGCTCTGAATTCCATTGTAGAAGGAGCTAAAATGTATTGTGGTTTGAATGAGAATCATGAAAAGTTTTCTGCAGAAAAGATCCCACTCTCAGTGTACTTCTTTCACTTCTCACTTAAAGGCTTTATTTTGATAGGGCATTTCAATAGTTAAAATTTTGAACTTGCATTTTCCAAACTATAGGTCATTAAAAAATATTCCCAAAGTCAGCACTATGTTTCCCTTCCAAACAGGTGGCTTCCGATGTCTGGGCATTGCGGAGAAGGATGCCTCTCTTGGGTTTTGCGGGGATGGTTATTTCTTCAATAGGGAAGTGCAAGAATGCCAGGCATGTTGGGAGTGTGAAGACGGAATGGTGGCTCTCCCCTGCTCTGCAGTTAGTGACACCGTCTGCGCGGCAGCCAGTGAAAGCCGGCTCACCAAGTCTTGGGCTGCAGATCTCCAGCTGCCCTCAGCAAAGTCTGCCTCTGTTCAGGTCTATCCTGGCTTAAACCTTAAGTTAAAAGGGAAGATGAAATTCGATATCGCCTTCATCGAGGACAACAAGCTCGTCTTCAGGCAGCATGGCTTACTCTGGGTTGACCTCAACTTCGCTGTGAAACACAACTGTAGGAACTTTCTCCAGCTCTCCCTCAAGTCAAATAGCAGCGAGGAGGGGTCTGAGCTCAGCGGGGTTCGCATCGAACAGCCAGAAGGAAAGTATTTCCAGAGCGCGAGCTTAAGTAGTGCCGCCGAAGTGGAGCCACGCCAGACCCTGGCCGTGTTCTTGAGAAGCCCAAATCAGTTCTGCAACCAAAGCAAAGACTTGAACGTGTATGACCTCCACACACCACTCAGCTTGTTCTGGTTGTCCCATGACACGGGGGCGGTAGCCATGAGTGCACAGATGTCCACAGCTACGCACTACCAGACCAACTACCGCCCTACGTTTAAAATTAATTCTGTTTCTGACCCGTACATGATAAGCTTATCTCACGACGGAAGAGGCATAAGGTTCACCGAAGCTGGTGTCATCAAGTTTGTTTTCCACCAGGCACTGTACTCCATGGGTCACACTTGTGTCCGAGAAGGGTTTTCCTTGATTTCCTACATCGGCAGGAACGGTACCAACGTAGAACTGATGAACACATTCAAATCTGGAGTAAATTACCGAGACACTTCTCTGTCTGCCTCTGGGGCAACTAGAGTCCAGGCTGGAGATCAGATTAACTTTGAGATTTTTTCGCCAGCTCAGTGTAGCGTTCGCTACTTTGGGGACAGCTCGGGCGTGAGTACATTTAGCCTCATCTGGATCCCATCTGCAGTTTCTACTGCTCTTTCAGCCACTGTTTCCACTACAGGCCTGCCTACTGGAGCTGTCAGGAACAAATTTTTGGATTTCAAACTTGTCACATCCAATGAGAAACAGATACAGCTGGTTTCTTCTGGAAAGTTTGCTCAGAGGTATTTCATATTTACAGAGAAGGGAGTTGCCAGTGTTGCTTTTAACCTAAAGTTGATCCATTCATGTAATGTGATCAAGGTTACCTTAAATCAGTTGATTCAGGATCAGACACACCCAGCAGCAATTGCACAACAAATCGGAGGTCAGATGCCAGAGGGAAGCATGTGGACCAGTGTGAGCCTCTGTTCTTCTTTTGAAGTTCACAATGGTACAATGATCTCCATTTCTCTTGACTGTGTTCGTGGAAGGATCAATCAGATTGCTCACCAACGTGGAATGGGCATATCAATTTTGTGGATCTCATCTTAAATTTTTTGGGGGATAAGAAAAACTGATGGGTAGCTTTGAAGGTACTCTGTGGACATTGTATACTATTAAATAGTTTGTGAAAATGCACAAGGTTTTATAGAAATATTCTTATTTCAAGATGTTAGATTATATATACAAAGAGAAGACTTTCTTTAAAAAAAATCACCAACTTGCACTGTTAATATTTACCCCCTCTAAGAAATTGGATTCAATTTGGGTTCTAGTTTTGACAGCATAGTCATATTAAATGCAGAATTTGTGTAAATATCATGAGAAAGTTAAATGAATAAAAACAACTTGCCACAGAAATTCAGTACATTTCAGTTCAGTTCCAACAACTCCTTTCACCAAGGTGAAATTCATGTGCATGTTTGACCATGGTGGATTACTCAAGACTAGTTAGGTTGGCACTGTCAAGTTAAAAAACTCTTGCTAAAATTTCAAATTAAATGTAAGTATGAAGTTCAATTTATAAATACAAACCTTAAGAAAAGCATATTAATTATACTGACTTTTATTTATTTTAATCACTATTTATTTCTTTTGATATTGTTCTTTTTTTAAACCTATTTTGGAGGTTTTGTTTCTCTTTTATTTGTTTATTAACTTCACTCTTATTCTGAATTCTTGCACTTTGTCATGTCATGCATTGATTTCCCTCTATGAGTTCTCTTTTTGGAAACTTAAAAATAGAGGTGACCCTCCCACTTTGTGTATTTACTGATTATTTTGGCCCTAAGGATTGAATTTTTTTTTTTAAAAATTGTGTTATGAATCACTTATGGGATAGAACAAGGGAGAAAATGCCCTGGCCATATGCTGACCAGATTATCAGCAGTAAAGGTAGAGGTTTTTGTTGAGATTGCTTCTTGAGAGCAGGGTTTGTCTTTTATCTTTGTTTGTATCTCTAGTACTTAGCACAACCTACTATTAGGCACTTAATAAATGTTTACTGAGTATTTATTTGTGAGCATTCAGATTTTCATCCCCAGGTCCATTTCCGTCCTTGCTGTGGAGTGTTGGGTGGTAGCTGTGTTGGAAACAAGCCTTGTGGTTAGCTGTCATGGGGAGGATGGGATGCAGCTCATCTTCCCATCTTCTGGTTGGCTGATCACATACTTCATGGGGTCAAACCATGACCCTCCCCTAGTGCAGTGAACTAGAGTGGGTAGAATGCCAACCTTAAAGTGAGCAGCAGCTAATACACACTGCCTTTGTGACCTTGGCCACTTGCAAGACCTAAGTCAACCAGTGAAAGAAGAGAAAGGTCCCATACTTTGTTAGCACTCAAGAAAACCCTACTTCTATAGTATACCAGGATCTTCAATATCAACAGAGAGTTCAAATTTGTCACTAGTTCCTGCTCTGTCTGGCCAAATTCTGCTAACCATCCATTGATAGACCAAATAACAGTGTTGGAGAAGTGAGCCAATATATCTTTGCCTAGAATATAGACTTCCAGACTTATCTGAAGGGCTGTAGAAACTCTTTTAATATAATTTTAAGATCTGGACTTGTTAGGAATGATCTATCTCATTGCTTGAGTGGATTTCATCTTTGAATTTGTCAGCAGGACAGCATCACCAAAAACATTGACAGTACAGGATATAGATTTAGAGCTAGGAGGGATCTTGGAGGTCATGAAGTCCAATGTCTTCATTTGACAATGAAGAAACTGAGGGTCAAAGAGAGTAAGTGACTTATCTAATGTCATACAGCAAAACGTAGCTTGGGGTAGGTCCTCATACTCCAAATTCAGCATTCTTTCCAGTGACCTGAACTGTATTGTTTCTCCACAGCTCCACATGAAGAGATCAGATATATATATGTGTGTATATATATATATATATATATGTATATGTATATGTATACACATGCACACATACTTTTTTGTGGATAAAGCTTTTCATGGTTGTCATATTGGAGAATTAACTTGTGAAAAGATAGTCATCATAATTGATATTTGGATGATCAATAACGGAAACTTGAGGGCTGTGAAGCTGGTTTCATTTCTAGCCCTTTAGTACCCAATTTGAATGATGTGCTTACTGTACTTGCACTTCAGTTAAGCTAACCAGTTTTCATGAGGTCATTCAGCCATCCCTCTGCCCTTCAGCCTGTTTTCAGGAACCACCAACTTAAGATAAGGCCACTGAAGGAAGAGCCTTGGTGCCTCCCAGTATTGTCACTGTGAAGGAGAATTTCCCCATTAACTAGGTGCACTGATCATGTGATCCAGGCACAAAGGCATTCTGGGGAAAGGTTATTGTTTAAGCTTTTCTGAGTTGCAATTTGACTGGGCTTAAAAAAAAAACCCAAACAATTTAGAGGGGAAAACCCCCTGAATAGTTGCAATAGGCTTAATACTGTTGCAGCCAAGTGATGCAGGTGAACATTGCTGAAGTTCAAAATGCCAGGCTCATGATCTGAGCATGGGCGGGGGGGATGTTGATCAGATGAGACAAACTTGTTAAATTCATACACTTTAAAACAAACGTCAAACCATTTTTTCTGTGGTCTTATTTTTTAGCTTGTGCTTTATAGTATTTGATGGTGTTACCGTGGCACGGTCAAGCTTTAGTTTAAGAAGCGACATTAAAATAGCCGAACAATTGCCTGTTAGACAGGAAGCCCCTGCGGAGGCCTGAAAAGGAAAGAGCACAGTTAGGTGCAGGAACAAATAAATGAGTGATGCTTTGCAGCATTGTGGTAGGAGCTTGGCTTTTGGTTTGGGTTTTTGTAATTTTAGATGATCTGGGAAACAGTTTTAGAGAAGTTGGCAAGATAAAAATAAATTTTAGAGAAGGGCTAATTGGATCTTAGCCAATACTTGACCGAACTTGACCCAGACATGCACTCTATAAATTTTGATAGTACTAACTCATGGATTCCAGTATTTCCATGCATTATAAAACAATAATATAATGCACAGGCATGTACTATAAAATAATATAATTATAATTTATAATGCTATGTGTTATAAAAAGGTAAACTGAGTCAGCCAAAGGAAGGTCTCTGTTTTGTTCTGTACTGTACTCAGGTGCCCTCTCTTTTATGTCAAGATCATAGAATTGAGGTAGGAAGGGAAGAGGCTTAGCATAGTGGAAAGGATGCTGGATGAAGAATCAGAGTGCTGGGATTTGAATCCTGCTTTGCCATTTACTACCTGACTGATCTTATGGAAGGGACTTAACCTCTCTGGGCCTCAGTTTTCAGGTGGGTAGAGTGTTGGACCTGGAGTAAAGACATTGTTGTTGTTGTTGTTGAGTTATTTCAATCCTGTCCCACTTTTTCTCACCCCATATGGTTTGTTTGTTTTTTTTTTTTTTTTGGCAAAGATACTGGAGTGGTTTGCTATTTCCTTCTCCAGCTCCTTTTACAGATGAGGAAACTGAGGCAAATAAGGTAATGTGACTTGCCCAGAGTCACACAGCTAGTAAGTGTCTGGGGCCAGATTTGAACTCAGGAAAATGAGTCTTCCTGACTTCAGGCTCAGAGCTCTATCCTCTGAGCCACCTAGCTGCCTAGACCTTAGTTCAAATCCTGTCTCAAGACATTAGTGTATGACCCTGGATCATCTTCTCAACCTCAGTTTCCTTATCTGTGAAATGGGAATAATCATGGCATCTTCCTTACAGCATTGTCATGAAGACCAAATAAGATAACATTTAGAATACTTTGTAAACCTTAAAGTGCTATATAAATTCTAGTCATTATTATTATCCACAAAGAGAAGGGATTGAATGAGGTGACTTACTAAGTTTCCCTCCAGATCAGAATCTGTAATCCAGTGATCTGTGAAGTACTGTGCATGATAGGAAGCTACTCATTAAGGGACACAAGTTGAAGGAGAGACAGGAATGAAGATTACTTTTTCATTTTTCACAGGTCTTCTATGCAGGTATGAAGGACCTCTGATTTTGTTTTCATGGGAGAACTCCCAGCATGGGATCTCCTTCCACCAGCACATCACAACATGTCTATGTCTCTGTAGATCACAAACTTGGAGCTTGAAGAAAACCTAAGAAATCATCTTGTCCAATCTCCTTATTTTATGGAAGAGGAAATGGAAGGCCAGACATATTGAATAACTTGTCTATGTGCTCACCTAGTAGCAAATGCTGAACCAGGATTTGAACCTAGATTTTCTGATCCCAAATCCATCATTCTCTACACTGTATCACATTAAAGCCTATAAGATTACATGAGGCACAAGTAGTTCAGTGACTTACCCAGGGTCAAACAGGTGGGAATTAAACCCAGGTCTTCTGGACTCCAAGCCCAGCATTCCGTTCCTCTCTATCACACTACCTCTTTTTTTTTAAAAAAAAAAATCCTATTTTTCCTCAATCGCATGTAAAGACACTTTTTAACATTCATTTTTTAAAAATTTGAGCTCCAAATTTTCTTCCTCCCTCACCTTCCCTCCCCAGAGACAGTAAGCAGTTTGATATAAATTATAGCATCACCTCTTTCATAGACATTATTTGCCTGGCATATGCATATTACTATATCTTATTATGGTCATTTCTGTTCACGTTTCTGAAATTTTAAAGACATGCTTCAATCCTTCTGGGTCACTGCCTCTCTCCTCTCTGCCCCCTTCCCTCGCCCCCCTCCCCCACTATGAACACCTAAAGATCCAACCTTAGGGAGTTATTTTCCCTGTGAACCACTGAGCAAAACATAAGCATAAATTTTGCATCTTCCCCTTCCCAATCAAAATTATTGAAAACTTAAACTCCTTCAAATACCCTACAAAAGCAAGAAATCTGCAGAGGTCGTGATAGAGAATTTCCCATCTTAGATGACAGCCAGGTAATTTTCTGTCTGTCACCATTCCTAGGAGAGATTTTTGTATTGTCACCATGGACATTTCATAAAGGTCGATTTCAACAACTTTGCAATTACAACTCAACATACCAAAGATAGTAAAAACCATTGAACTGTATTTTGGGAGCAGCAGCGACCCTATTAATGTGAAATGAGAAACCCGGGTGATTTTAAGAACTGAGCACCCTGCTCGCATCGCTCACTACATCTCATTACATTATTAGGAGCAATAATAGCCTTTAGATAATGGCACAACCATTCAACCACAACAAATTTGCAAAGCATTTTCTTTTAAAGGTGTGGGGGAAGGTGATGGTGGTGATTTAAAAAAGCCTGAGAAGGAAATCATTCTTTTCATCTTAGGTCTCTACATAACTATTGTTCTTTTAGGGCCATAGGAGGATTTTTGTATAAACAGTTGCTAATGGACTTGGGTCTCCTTCAGTGCTCAAGTTACTCCTAGCCCAAAGACTAGGTTAGGTGCTTTCAGAAGCAACTATGACTACTGGTGGATAAAGTGTTGGACTTGGGGTCCGGAAGATCTGAGTCTATATCCTGCCCCAGACATTTGGTAGCTGTGTAATTTGGTAGCTGGGCAATTCACTTAGTATTGATAAGTCTCAGTTTCCTCGTCTGTAAA